TCACCACTTTGCAATTATTGATCAGTGGAAATGCTGTTACTTTAAAACTTAGGTCAAGAAATTCAGCGAGACACTGGGCATTCCAGTGAACTGCATCTTTCTTGTGAAGAACTACAACTCAGAAATCAAGACGAATGATGACATTGATGTGCTGATACTGATTGCACTGAGACAGATGATCAATTTTGGAGAAGACTTCCTCGACAACCTGTAGACCTACATACTGCTGAGGTAGTATGTAATTTACATGGTTCTTTATGATGATTTTTTATTATCAGTATTCATCATTGTATCATCATATCATTATATCATTATTATGTAATTCGTATAATATTCACTTTATCATGTGATTCTTTATCACAACCTTCCTAGTTGAATCAGAAATTTTGTCAAAATGTATCTTATTGCTTGTTATTTTACTTTGATGAATATAGTACTGTTAGTAAGCTGTTCAACACCTGGATTTGCAGAAAGGATGCTTGTTTATATGAAATAAAAATTAGTTAAAACATTTATTTTGTGTCTATATTTCTTATTATTTTAGCTGCAGCTGACGAAACTTCATGGCTGTATGGATAGTAAAAGAGGTGTAAAATTTGCATTGACATTTTTATATGTAACCAAGACTAGGTCTAAATCTACTATATTGCTGGACCGTGTATGGTCAGTGGTAGTGTCTATAATGTCAATTCCTGGATTTTAAATGATAAATTGTAATTTTCTGTGGTCCAAGTAATATTTGTTCTTAATGTGTAGCAAATCACAACATGGTTAAGCCACATTAAAGTTAAAAAAACAAAACACTTTTCACCTATTTTTGAAGATGTTTGATTTGAAAGAAAACTTATTCTAACTATTTTAATTATCTATTAACTACCCTTTCTCTTTCTTGTTTTTATTGTTTTCTATTTTTTCTATGACACATGATGGAAAAGTATTGCATTCCCTTGAAAAAAAGATCTGCTCTGTTTTTCTTAATTAACAAGATACCCTTAGAACACTCTCCATGCCTAGGGCCAGCTCTCAGCCCCCTTTGCCAAATCCTAACCCAACCCTCTAAGGAATATGCCATGAAGTCCTCACCTCAGCCAAAAATCAGCCCGATCTGATCAGTTTTGCAAGAGTTACAGTAGAAAAACAGATTTTGAAATTGGAGAGTAAAAAATTCAAGTGTTTTCTGTGTTTCAAGTAACGTTTATTTGTGGAAGATTGTAAATGTCATCTGACAATGCTTTCTCAACTGGTGTATTGCAACCTGACTTGTTTTGAATGGGTCTCTGAGTGTGTGGTCAAAGAAAAAAATAAATGTCATGTCATGTATTATAATATATATTATATAAATATAATATACATATTATATTTATATAATATATATTATAATTATAATTATATAATATATGTCATAATTATATAATATATGTTATAATTATATAATATAGATTATAATTATATAATATTAATAACATTTATTAATAAATGAATTCTGATGTCTGACTTTTATTTTGACAGAAAAGCTTTAATATTTTTTTAAAAATTGGGTTAGGAGGAAAACCAACCCACAGCCTCATGTTATTTTACACTAGTTGGCTAATTATCTATAATTTATTTATAATTTATAAGTGACCCAGATGGCGAATGTTGATCTGAAGTGATATAAAAGTCACAGAGATTCTGATAACTAAGGACACGTTGCAAAAAAACAGACCTGAATCTGATTTGGACCACATATGAAAGTGGCCCAAATCAGAAATGAAAAGATCAGATTCCATGTGTGGTGTTTACACTGTCATTAAAAAATCTGTCACATATAAAAAAAATCTAATTTGGGTCACTTTGGCCTGCAGTCTGAATGCAACCATAGTGTTATTTTTATCCCGCTCATATTAAAGATGTATTTCCTTGCTTATTATATGTGCAGGAAATAGGGTAAAACAGTGTAAGAGTTGTTACATATCATCAAGATTTACAGAGCATTAACACATTGACCTTAAAATGGTAAAACACACACAAGTGATTCATACTTCAGTGGTGAAGCTGTCATGAGAGGTTGCATCAACTAAAGCTCGACCAGTGATTCTGCCTTGTAAAAGACTGTCGACAGAGTTGATGAAACTGGACTTTCCAGAACCAGCCGGTCCATGAAGCAGAATTCTCAGCTGTAGGAGCTCTGTATTATGAGGCTGATAATCCTTCACAAATGGCAGATAGTTCTCTTTGCAACTATTCAAAGAACATTTTAAATCAGGTATTAAATCCAAATCAACCACAAAAACAAGAAATGAAACCAACAGCAGTCTTAACAAATAATTTTGTGAAGTTTAAGTTTTTATTATATAAGAGAAGAAAGATTAAATAACACATACTTACCCCCATTGTATTGTCCTCCAATTGTCCACTAAAAGCTGACAGCAAATAGCAAAAAACATTAACAAAGCAAACAAACATGAAAAATTAATTCACCAAATGTTTTAAATGTCTTACTCACAGTAGAGGAGCTGGCAGGTTGAGATGATTTTCCTCCCATTGCTACAAAATAAGATATTTTTATTTATAACTTGTAGCAGAGACAGAGAATAATTCAAACTATTAATTCAAGATAACTGGACTGACTTGCAACTTACCACTGAAAAACCAGACTCAGTGTGCAACAATATCGTATATAATATATATCATAATATTATAAATTGCACAAATGTATTTTCAATACAACATAAATCAGAAATAAAAAGTGACTCATGCACAGCACCCAAAAAGCCAATACTTAAATTAAATGTATAGCTTATTAAACTAAAGCAAAATCATATCAACAAAACTTCAAGCTACTATATTTAAATTACAAAATTCTTACAATGCAGTTTACTACATTTGAGGATAGATATCATAAAAAAAATCTTACCTCTAAAAGTTGTACTGGAACAAAGCCGGTACTGAATTGGTGAATCCCTGATAGATTTCCTCAGGGTGTGACTCTTTGTCTTTAGAAATGATGCCTAGTGTGATGTTGCAGCTTTATAGCTTGACTTCCTTTCACTTTCTTTTTGGTAACATGATTACTTTGAAAGGGACTTTCTCTTCTGAGGTCATTATTTCTTAATTATCTAAGTACCCACTTAACCCAAACCGGGATGTTCTTATCAGAAAACACTTTTATGTTTCATTTTAGAGCATGAAAAAAGTAATTTTATCAGGACACAAAACTGTCTTTGTCCACTTACAATGTTATATTAAAGCCAGGAGGAGGAGGAGGAGTTGTTGTTATTGCTGTTGTTGTCGTTGTTGTGTATGTAACCCCTCTTCAGACCTGTCCCGTAAAGGGGGATACAGAGTATCTAAGTAGACAACAGGGATTAGTCTCTAACCTAGGTTCAATGAGGAGATTGGTCATAAATTACTC